TCCTAGCAATAGCCGATCAGGACAGGCCATTTCATGTGGTCTGTGATGCCAGCGATTTCGCAATCGGCTGTGCATTAATGCAGTACGATCTTGAAGGCGTTGAACGCGTCGTCTGCTATCAGTCGCGTCAGCTGCAACCAGCTGAGCGGAACTATCCAGTGCATGACAAGGAACTCCTTGCCATGAAGTATGCACTCGCGAAGTTCAGAGTCTATCTATTAGGAGATAGACCCTTCATTGTTTACACTGACCATGCGTCATTACGCACGGCAGTGAACAGCCCGCACCTTTCACAACGAATGGCGCGGTGGTTGTCATTCTTTGCGGAATACAACTTTACGGTCGAGTACAAACCAGGACGACTTAATGTCGTCGCTGATGCACTCTCACGTCGTCCCGACTTTGAAACAGTCGCGAAACCCAACAGTGAGACAGTCACTGTTGCGGTTATGACGTCCTCAGTTCCATCTACAATGTTGTATGATGATGTGAGGCGGGCATACGCCCAAGATGGTGAGATAGTGAAGTTGTTGTCACATCTCTCCCAACCATCCCGAGAATCGTTGAAACGATTGTCGCCTGCGTATCGATCTGCATCAGATCGATACACTACTCGTAACGGTTTACTGTATTATACAGCCGTTTCTGGTGACACACCACGTGTTGTCATTCCAGATGATACTGATCTGCGTTTGCGGATCATGTTCGAGTATCACGATGCTCCTATAGGAGGACATCGTGGCCGAGAGAAAACATATCTCACGGTGAGTCGAGACTTTTACTGGCCCCGCCAGTATCAGTTTGTGCGAAAGTATGTTCGCGCATGCGAAGTCTGCCAACGAGTGAAGTCAAGTCCTTCACTGCGTGCACCTTTACAGCCTCTACCGGTTCCGGCTGAGTGCTGGGAATCCATCTCAATGGATTTCGTCTTCGGGTTACCCAAAGACGCACGCGGGAATACGGGTATTCTCGTATTTGTTGACAGATTCAGCAAAATGGTACACCTTGTGGCTGTACCAGAGACAATCACGGCAAGTGGCTGTGCTTGTGTCTTTATTGACACCATCTTCCGACTTCATGGGTTGCCCCGTGAACTCGTATCAGACAGAGATCCACGATTCACTGCTGATTTCTGGCGTTCCGTGTTCAAATCACTCGGAACGCGCTTGAAGATGTCAACATCTGATCATCCAGAGTCAGATGGTCAGACGGAACGTGCCAATCGTGTCCTTGAAGAGATACTTCGAGGATACGTACACTCCTTTAAGAGTTGGAGTGAGTTTTTGCCAATGGTAGAGTTTGCCATCAACAACTCGGTGCATGCGTCCACGACACATACACCGTTTTACGTGAATGGCTTGCGCCATCCGCGTGTACCCACCTTACTCGAGTGTAACTCTGGTTCAAGGGGGGGAGGGACTCGCGCGAGCAAAAACCGATTTGGTTCACGCTCATCACGCTCTGACGAAGAAGTCATTGCGTTTGATGCCGATATCGATAACATCGATATCGAAAAAGATGATGCCAGTGAGAGTGCGGAAGCCCTCACTGAAGACAATGATCCCAGTGAGAGTGCGGAAGCCCTCACTGAAGAAAAGGTTGTTGTTGCTGCAGTGCGCTCACAGCACACTGAAGCTAACGAGTCATCAGATGAGTTCATACTGGCTCGTGAAACGGTAGTCCGTTTTGTGCAAGACTCCATCGCCGAAGCGGTGGATAAGCAAAAGCAAAACGCTGACAAGAATGGAAGGGCAAACACTCTTTTATTTAATAAAGGTGACTTAGCCCTACTGTCTACGGTTAATTTACCAAACCATGTAGTGACTAACTTGGGTAGCAGTAAACTACTACCCAAGTACATCGGTCCATTTCGTGTATTGCACCGCCTAGGCAATGCATACACGATCGAGTTACCACGTAAGATGCGAACGCATCCCACGTTTTACGTTGGTCGGCTTAAGCCGTACCATCAGTACGCTGCTTCTTCCGATGAAGAACGCCCTTGCGCTCAAGCATCTCGCAGAGAGCCTTGTGCTCCCGATGGTGGGCATCAACAAGGGTCTGAAGAGCAGCTATCTCATCCCGAGACCGATCAGCCATCCCACGAGCTACCCTTAGCTCGTCACGAAGAGATGTCAGAGATCTCTCGTTCTCAAGCTGAGCAAAGGCAAACTCAGCTCGATGCTTCAAGGCAGTGTCCACCATCTGGAGACGCCTATTCCGCTCATGCTCGAGATCGTCGCGTAACCCTTGCGTTACGCGATCAAAGAAGCTCTCGGGAACACACCGATCCACATGATCGTGTGGAGAGCGTCTTTCCTCCTCCTCCACCTCCATTAGAGGACTCTCGCGGTGGCCAGCGCTATCTAGTTGAGCAGCTGTTGAACCACCGCGACGTGAACGGACGTCGGACGAGTTACCTCGTCCGGTGGCGCGGCTATCCCCCGTCCTGGGATTCTTGGGAGCCCCGCTCCCAATTGATGGTTGACGTACTGGGTCTGGTCGAGCAGTACGACGCGGCACATCCTGTGCCGCAGAAGGACCGCCGGAGAAAGTCTTCCCGGCACGGTCGTAAAGGGATTTCAGGTTGTCAATCCCTTCGTACATCTCAGTAGAGACACGTACGCGCCACCACGGGCTGGTAAGGAGGTAAGCCTCCTTAGGTGCTCGTGCAGAGTTGTTCACACAACATGGGCACGAGTCTCCCCAAGAGAGGCAGGGTAATCCTTTCTCCCTTGACAGACGATGCAGCTTGTAGCGTGCACCTGTCGGGGTTCGCTTTTCAAACTTATCACGAGCTTTGATAAGTTTGTCGTTCCAAGCGTCACGACCTACATCCTCGAGGTTATGGATGTAGGCGTTCCACGCCTGAAGTAGTGAGGGACCATCACGTTTGTGATTCCCACTGTACCATCGATGTCTGAAGAAAGCATCGATGAAGAACTCGTGTTCAGCGCGATAGTCTTTCGCGCTGGGGTCAAGGTGATGGATCCTTGACGAATCGAACAATCGTGTTCGATAACGATCACTCGTCGTCGTCGACAAGTGATCCATGACGGATTTAGGAGGCATCCATGCTTTCTTTTCTGGAGCGAGACGCAACACATTGCGGTCCCGCTCTTCCTGCGACGTGCCGACAGAAGTACTGGCACCTCGCTGTGAAGTGGTATCCATTGGAGAACCGACACCACTATTAGCGCCCGAGTCTCGCGACCTCGAGCGCCTTCGCTTCGGCGATGGTTCATCTGACTCATCAGATGAACCAAAGATGCTGCGACGCAAGGCATCGTCCATGCCACGCTTGGCAGGCGGCTTAGATTCAATCGCCGTCGATACGGATCCGTCATCCGTATCAGGAGAGTATGAGACACCGAGCTCGTACTCTGTAAAGACACGAGTGTCTTCATGACCAGCGCCTGCGTCACCAAGTGACACAGGCTGGGTCTCTTCAGCAACCGATGGGACATCAGTTGCTGTTGTTTCTGCTTCGGCGTCCGCACAGAGACGTGCAGACGCGCTCTCAGCGGCCTTGCTCGCGCATCGCATGGGCTTGTTAACCATGCGATGAGATGTTGGAAAGTGGACGCGGACCAACAAGTGCAAACCCTGTCCCAAATGATTTGGGACGAGTATCCATTTAGTCAATCAGTCACTAAAGTGACTGATGGTTAGGGGGGGTGATGTAACGGGGTGAATCGTTACATAACAATTTATAAGAAATTGTTAATAGAATATAACTATAAGAGTTATATTCTCAGAATATTGTCATAAGGACAAATATTCTGTAGCACTTACAAGTAGTTCCTAATTGGTTGATATAGGCCATTATATCAACCAACGAAGACGCGCCACGACAGACGCACGCAATGAGTGGTGAGCAGATAACTGATTTACACATTTGTATTTAGACATAGTTAGATGAAGATAAATAGTGATTTATTGCAGACATTAACTATTATAAATACAGTTCTACTTTTTACTCTAACCAAGTACTCGCTTCTTCTTACCGTCTTCCTCTGCACGTACTAGTGTACGTGAAGTTACGAGGCACCGCCTTATTCTGTTATCAGAATAAGTAGCTTGTACTGTCACCAGTACAAGCTTCAGGGTGCCCCATTACAATATTGTCATAAGGACAAATATTCTGCAGCACTTACGAGTAGTTCCTAATTATTGGTTGATATAGGCCATTATATCAACCAACGAAGACGCGCCACGACAGACGCACGCAATGAGTGGTGAGCAGATAACTGATGTGCACATTTGTATTTAGACATAGTTAGATGAAGATAAATAGTGATTTATTGCAGACAACTAACTATTATAAATACAGTTCTACTTTTTACTTTAACCAAGCACTCGCTTCTCCTTACCGTCTTCCTCTGCACGTACGAGTGTACGTGAAGTTCCGAGGCACCGCCTTATTCTTTCATCAGAATAAGTAGCTTGTACTGTCATCAGTACAAGCTTCAGGGTGCCCCGTTACAGGTAAGGTCCGCTACTCGTGTTTTAAGAGTTGCCGTTACCTCTCCTTCCGCCGTACATACAAGTTGTAAAACACAATACAACAGTCAGAAGGTGTGTGAAGTTTTTAGTGCAGTAGTAACCAAGTACAGTGTGCTAGGAAAACTCGATCATCACTAGCTTGTTAGAAGCCAGCATGTACTCACACAAACACATTCACCTCTGATTAATCTTAAGCCAATCATGAGCGTGCACCACAAAAGTGACCTAGTCAAAGAGTGACCTTGTATGTACCTACCATAGGCCGATGAAGGGGACAGGCTAGATCGTACTTAGTACGCGATAGGTGTGCCTAAACGCGTCATTTACAGACGCACACACAGACACACACACACGGACGGACATTCGGATACGTACGATTTTGAAAAATTCGGCATTCAAATCTTGCGCAAACTCACTGATAGCTTCACCCTTCGGGCTCGCAACAAAACGATTTCCCACTCTCCTCCTACTTGTCGTTCCTACAATCGACCCCCATGCCCCATCATGGCTCGTCTTCAGCTGGTGACGGTGATGACTTTGCGCCGAAGCTCTCGCAGAACGTAGAGGACGTCCTGGGCAAGGTCTCTATGCTTTATCCAAGTCCTTGTTGTGATGCGGCCTGATACGATTGTTGTTGCTGCTGTTACGAGCAGGTTCTACCTTCAGAAGACGTGCTGGACCGACCGGATTTCGATGCGCGTGATTTCGTCAACCGCAATTTCCCGGATGAGCAGAGCTTGGAGGACATCGGAGACTTTATGGGTAGACTCCGTGAGCGCATGAAGGATCTCGATGACTCGCTGTCGCAGGCGTCACAGGATCAGAGTCTGGCGGCCCAACAGGCGCTCGTGGATCTAAAGGAAGCGAAAATAGCGACCCAGCAGCTCGTTCAAAAGATCCACGACATTCGAGGAAAGGCAGAGCAGTCGGAAGTAATGGTGCAGGAGATTTGCCGTGACATCAAGCAGCTCGACTACGCCAAGCATCATCTACAGACCACACTCACAGTGCTAAAACGGCTGCACATGCTAGTAAACGCAGTCGACCAGCTCGAGTTCGTGTCCTCGCAGCGCAACTATCGTGAAGCTGCCCCTCTTCTTGAAGCGGTAAACCAGCTCTTCACGCACTTCGACCGCTACACTAACGTCGATAAGATTGTCGAGCTTCACCGAACCGTGCGCACGCTGCAGGAAGAGCTTGGAGGGCAGATCTTTGCTGACTTTCGATCGATTGGGCCGATGGAATCGTTGGAGGAGAACTTTCCGTCAACGGAAGAGCGAGAGGCGGTTTTTGAAAACCTCTCGGCAGCATGTGCTGTAGTAGATGCTTTGGGAAAGGCAACGCGTGATAAACTTATCTTTTTGTTCTGCAACGATCAGCTTATATCGTATGAAAGACAATACGGCGAGGGGGGCGAAAGCGTTGGCTTACAAAAGGCCGAAGCACGGTACACGTGGTTTTACAACCTGCTTGCTGCAATTGATTCTCATTTAAATGCTATTTTTCCGGACCAGTGGCAAATGGCTCGGCAATTGTGCATTCGGTTTTGCGAGTGTACGCGCACGCATCTACTCGCTCAAATAGGTGCACACACTCCAGACGAATTAGACGTAACGCTGCTGCTGAAATCGCTGCAGCGAACACTTATGTTCGAACGCGACGCAGCGCGAAGATTTGAAAGTACTGCAGAACGAAAAGATGAGCTGGAGGTAATGGAAATGAACGAGCACAGCCAAATTGTTGATTCTCAGTCTGCTGCTGTTGGCATAACGAAAAAGCACCGTGGCAAACAGTTTGAGGGTGATCACAAGTTACCGGATCAAGCAATGGAGGAAACCAGCGAGTCGTCTGGCAACGACAGTCAAAGCCTGCCAACAATCAGGGGGATGATATCGTGCTCATTTGATCCTTTTATGACGGCGTATGTCGCGCTTGAGCGCAAGAATATGGAGCAAATGATCGATGAAGTTATGAATGCGGAACTCGTGGATCGGAATGGCCAGCTACCCGTATTTTCAAGCTCGGTTAACATGTTCGCATACATTCGCAACTCGATCAATCGGTGTATGGCATTGACGAACGGACAGACTTTTTTCGATCTCCAGAACGAATTCAAGCGTTGCTTCAAGCTTTATTCACAGCGGCTTCTCGAAAAAATTCCAACTGCTTCATCAGGGCCAGCTGGTGGTCTTGATTCCTCAGGAAGTGGCGCGACTCATAAGGTGAAGCTTGGCGACAAACAGGAAGAAGAGCTCTGCTTTGTGATTAATACGGCTGAGTACTGCGCTGGAACTCTTCCCTCTTTGGAAGAAGTAGTTCGCAGCAAGATCGATGGGGCATATAGCGATGCTATTGAGCTGTCTCAAGAAATTGATGCATTTCGTGATGTAGGTGCTGCCGCAATAAAGTGCATTGTCGCTGGATTGGAAACACCGTTGGAAGACAAATTAGTCACGCTTTACAAGGCAAACTGGCAGGCATGGGAGACGGTAGGTGATGAAAGTTTGTACGTGACACAAATAGGTGAGAAACTGCGGGCTTTTGTACCGGTGCTGCGCCAAATGCTGTCTGGACTGTACTTTACGAACTTTTGTGATAAATTCGCCGCCTGCTTCATGCCCAAGATCCTGCAATCCGTGATGAAGTGCCGAAAGGTAAATCAAGTAGCGACTCAGCAGCTACTGCTAGACGTGTACGCACTCAAAACTATCTTCCTCCAGTTGCCAGTGTTGCCCAACGACGTCAATTCACCTTTGTCGAAGAGTAAAGCGACGGTCCCATCGCGCTACACGAAGTTCGTCACCAATGAGTTCGCGAAGGTAGAGAGTGTACTGAAACTGATTGGTACTCCACGTGAAATGTTGGTGGAGAGCTTTAAGATTATGTGGCCTGATGGTACCGCGGATGATTTCCAATGTATCATGAATATGAAGGGGCTCAAAAAGAGCGAGCAGGCAGATTTTTTGGAGACGCTGGGCATGCAACGCAAACCTACGGGCAAGATCGCCGAAATGGAAGGCAAGATGAGCGATATGACGGGGAACTGGAGGAAGAATATGCAGAACTTGGCCAAAGTACCATTTGCCTTCTCGACCGGTAGTAACACTAACTCGCACAGTCAGAGTTAGAAGAAAGGGCGATTCGGCATGTTAATGTAGCCAGACCTTTTCGCAACAAGTGCGGAGAATTGATACAAGCAAGTCCGTCTGAAATGGCTAAACCTGTTTGACTGCCATTCAGCAAGGTTCCAAATCTACTTCGTTGCTCGCGTACTTCGCATTCAGCGCGGTCTGCGGTGGCGCCGAATAATTGGCATCGTAGTTGTGGGAGCACTTATTGTGGGCTGGCATCATCGCACAGACGCCGATCATATTGCCCAGCATCTGTCGTGACACGAGATCTCGGAGGCGCGCAAGTCTAGCTTCGGCCCTAGATTGCGAGGCTTTCATCACAATCAGAACAAGAGCAGCTTCGTGTCACGCAACTTAATTTTGCACTCATCTTGGCATCTCGGAACACCTTAGTGGACCTAGGCAGTAAGCACTTTCTGCCTTCGCTTTGCCGTCTGCTCTCGTATTATTAATGCGAACCCGTCTTATTCTTTCGCTAGCCACGGTCTCGTGTTCATTTGAACTATTCACAATTCTGCGCTTGTAGTAGCATGGCCACGACTTTGTACAAGGACTATAAGCAGGTCGACCCTCGTGCGTACGTATGGCTGTGAATGCATCGTCGCGTATACCCTCTCTCACCCACAATACGAGCCCCACTACCCGCGTCCGTGAAGGACAGGCCGCGACTTCTCGCAATTCCACACTTTCGTCTGCGACGAGTGGGGGTCTACAGCGCCAATTACGTGGTAGAGCTGTAGCAAAAATGCTGTAGAATGAGGCGGATTCGCCGAGTGCAGCAGTACCACGGTCGTAATCTCAGCGCGGGGCAGGTTGGTTACAACGAATTGCCACGGACTTCGTGTAGCGCGCTCAACTACACGAGCGTATATCCATGATCCGAGAGAATGAGGTTGCTAGCGCCACCAATGCTGCTTGCAGAGGCTACCCCTTCCTTCTTCGACATAACCACAGGCATACCAGTTAGTTTCGCAATGTCCTGCGCTACCGTGGTACTTTGCAAATGCACAGGCATCGCCACGGTTGCTGTAGCCATTGACGTGTCCGCTACACTGGTTAAGGGGGATGTTGCGGCTGCCATTCTTGTCGGAATACAGAGCACAAGGTTAGCTTCTGGGGTGACTGGCCTACTACCATATGATACGCTCTCGCTTGGAGTAGAAGTTGAAGTCGCCGATTGGTACCTGTAGATATCCACCAGCTCCACCTTCATCTTCTGTTTGACGTGCAAGATGCCCTCCAGTGCAAAGTCAACCATTGTCTGACGGTAATCAGGCTTGTCCCAGCTTAAGCAGGTAAGGTCCGCCGACAGGTTACCCGCCGACGTGTCGGGAATCACGGACGCCAGTCCACCGAAAAAAGTCTGCAACATGCGGAACCTACCGTCAAAACACGACCAGGCAAATGACACGTCTGTGTCACGGTCATGCTTTCTTAGCACGCCGCCAAGGATAGGCTCACGCACCACCGCCAGTATAAACTCTTTATAATCGATTCGAATAGCCTTTATCTCATCATCGGAAAAGGTTTCGCGCAATCGCGGCTGCTGCTCACAGATTGTTTTAAAAAAAGCTTCTTCTCCCATTTCACACACTCCTAAAGGCGTCACAATCGGCACGTTCACACGCACTCCGGCATCTCCAGCACAATAATGCTGTCCCTCCTGGGCGATTACGGCAATTCTGGAAGTCAGGTCTGCTACAAAGTGTGCCACAGACTCCGTGATGTGTCGCCTTTCAACTCCTCGGAGCATGTCAAACATCTCAATTGCTAACGCACCGCCTTCACTCTGGATAAATTGCTGCGCATTCTGGAAGGTCAATTGATACGACCCTGAGGCACAACATACGCTGGGGTCTTGTGGCTCCCACAAGTCTCGCTGAGCACCGACGACATCAGCTAGAATCAGTGCCAGCTTACGTAGCTCTTGCACCTGCTCACTCAACAGGTTTGTGCCACTCTCCATGCTCAGCAGTGTTTTCATGACATGCGCAATTTCAGCTATCACGCGGTGCAAGGCAGCTACGCACACCCACCAAGAAGCAGAAGGCACAGATGCTGGCGATCTATTCCGTAGCCGCTGAAGAATGGCTATGCGGTGCTCCGTCAGCCACTTCAGTGCTGTCATCAAATTTTCAGTAAACCCTCGTGCAATGGAGAGCGTAGTAGTGACATCAGGAATACTGTTACCGAATAAAGGACACCCCGAATAGTCCTGGTTCAATGCCGGTTGGTCCTGGCGCAACGTAGCAAGGATAGACACGAGTTCGTCATAAAACGCGTTTTGGCTGATAGCGAGAACGCAATGCTTGACAACTACCTCCAGCTGGTGCACACCACACCAGATACGGTAGAAAGCGGGCTTCTTCACGAGTGTCGTGAGTCGTGAAGAAATTCCATGTTGGGGTCCTATCACACCAGTACCGCGTTCTGTATTCACACCGCTGTAATTAGTCGTACCCAGCAATTTGCTTTGCCAACGTGAGTCCATGACATCCAGTAATTTTGCAATTTGCTCGACAATTAATGACGTAGGATGCTGATCAAACGCAGGAAAAGTCACGAGGTGAAAGTCGTGTAGCGCACTATTCTGCCACAACCGCACACGAATACCAAGGTACGATGTGCTTTGCTGAACAGCTGCGTCTGTTGCTATCGTGTAGGTCCACGAGGAGCGCATCATCAGTGCAATCTTTTGCAGGTTGCTTGCGACAACTGCCCGGACGTAACCTGCTACTCTGTGCTCTGAACACCCATCATAACAAGCCAACTTTGTTTCTTCTTTTGTACACTGCACCAAGCGAGAAGCTAGACGGAAAGACGCGCCACAGGCCACAAACTTCACGGCGAGATCGTACAGACGTTGGTTCTTAATGAAAATTTCGTAAGTGCCGGTATCGTCTTTATGACAAAAAACGTCCAGAGCCTGCGTCTTGGAAAGCTCTTTCTCGTCACTGGCATTGAAGAACATGTCGCCAACGAGCTCCTCCACTATTCGCTGTTCGATCTTCGAGGCCGACAGACACACGGGTCCCACACGCTGCGCGACTGACATTGTCTCGACTGTCATTTTCGCGATCTCCACGTTACGAGCACTGCTACCAATTTGAGCAGTACATAGTTGCTGCTGGGCCAGCGCCAGCGAATTGATTGATGCCTCCTCGATGTGCAAAGCAAAAAACTTTTCCTTCTCGAGACTCGACAGCTGCTCGTAATCGCCCCATTTCGTCTTGTGGTTAATCTCCAGATGGGACAGATAATGGTCAGCACGAAAGGGCTGGCGAAAGTACTTGACGTTGGCCGTTGCGCGACGTTTTCGAGTCGTGTCGGCCGCCGACTCTTTGCCGAATGCGACGCAGAACTTGCACATCACAGACTCGACGACGAACGTGTTGGCATTGCGATTGCACACAGAAAGGCCGTACTTCAGTGTGTGCCTCTCATTAAACTTGACGCCGCGGTCTTTGTGCTTCTTGGGCTTGTTGCCGTTGCGCTCGGAGCCGCGTGTGGCGCCCATCCTTGAGTCGTGCGCAGTCACTAAAGCGCACGTCCGAGTCGTCACTAAAGCGATATCCGCACGAATTAAAAGTACTGATTTTGCGATGCTTTGGATACTTGTAACAAGCGTGCTGCATTCGCATGCGAGTGTGACGATGTTATTAGGAAAGCTATATATTCAATCTCGGTGGGCTCAATATAGTCGCTAGATAACGAACTCGATAGTAATTGCTTACCAACCTTGGTGTGGCATGTGCGCAAGCTACGCTGACTGCTTCCTGTCGCTCATTGGATCGTGTATGCAACGAACATCGACGAGCCATCGACCCGACTGCTTGACGCACGATGCCAAGACGGTATCTTCTTCGACGATAGTCTTGTCCACAGCAAGTTCCTTGTCGTAGTTGGCCTCTGCGGGCGGCTGAAGAAATCCACTAAACGGTACCAAGTTCTCAGTCTCGTTTGCTGATGCGTCGACATCCGTTTTTACGAGATTCGACGAGTCTGCTGTGCTCTCCCCATTCTTGGCGAGCTCCTCACTATCCACCACCGCAGTAGACAAATCAACTTTTTTCATTTGCTGATCGTAAATCATGCGTTCCATTGTGCCTGTGCTCACAAGCCTATACACATGCACACTTTTTGCCTGACCGATGCGATGAGAGCGGCACATTGACTAAACATAGCATGAAGAGAGCTAGTCAGTCACCAAATCAATTCACAGCAACGTTGCTCTCGCCCACCTGGTGGTCGTTGGAAGGATTCCAGCTGACATCAAATAAAACTAGACGGTTCGCGGCGTGAAGATTGATGCCCTCAGCACCGGCGCGCGTTGACACCAGCAATAGTTTAACCGGTGAATCGATCGCGCTGAATCGCTAGGCATCACACACATCATTAGTAGGCAAATGTTGTCATAGGATACTACGCCACACCGCGCCCATGAAAAATCATACCTGGATGTACTCCATACGTTTGGCGCTATTTGTACCACCATCGATCTGCAAAAACCACTCCTTTGAATCTGCACTGCTCACGACAGCAGAACGATTCGTGGCCTTTCTAGTATGTGGACCGCCTATTGCTGCCTGGTTTCGACGCTTGCGCAATATTCCAGCAGGGTCGCGATTTGGCCGTGGAGCAATTCTGCGGCGCTTTGAATTGCTTTTATTCGAGTGCTTGTGCAACTTTGTGCAGTCGTCAGTAACGCCTGCCGGACTAAAAGAGCTCACACGCAAGAAGTCTGAGATGACCTTGAGCGTAGGAACGCTCTGGGAGAACACGACAACCTTGTCACCACAGATAAAGCTTTCTTCCACGATACGAAAGAGAACAACCATCTTGCCACTGTTTTCCAGTACTCGCGTTTCGTAATGATCCACCATGTCTGGCATGGGCTTCTTAACGCCTCGGTCGTTCTTACCAAATATCACGGACCGTGCCCATATTGAGGCATTTTGCGTATCCGTGAGCTTCTGTCGCTTGCGACGCCGCTGTGCTGCAATATTCTGTTGTTTTTCCTGCAATCGCTCTTCACTTTCCCACGCCCAACCACTCGAATCATCTGGCAACGCATTGCTATATTCATCGTCACTTCCCAGCAGAAGCGCTGAACCATCATCGTTGGACGGACAAAGCTTCGAATAAATAATGTCCGGATGGTTCATCACTTGAAGAAGTGCAGCGTAAGCAGTCAAGAGATCAGCAGCAGCTCCATCGCTGCCGCTGTAAAATTCGAGGAAGTCACAATATAATTGATGCTGTACCGGGGAAAGCTTGCAAAACAGAATGTACTCCTTCTTCGGTGGAAGCTGGGAACTCAGTAATGCCTTGCCTCGACGCAGCACGACATTATGAAGCAACTCAATCAGCTCTTGAGAATGTGTCGTGCTCCCTCCAAGAATTGGGCGCTCATAGTTCGCTCGAAACTCGTCATAAGAACCTAAGAATCCCTCTCGCGCAAAATTGACCATGCACCAATACTCAGACAGCGAGTTCTGCACGGGATACCCTGTGAGTACCAAACGTCGGGGTGATCGGATTTGAGCCACACTCTGACATAGCAACGAACTTGGGTCTTTCATTCGGTGTCCTTCATCCATAACTACAAGGCCTGCTCCTGGATCGCAGAGCAAATGCCTGAACTCTCGCGCTGTGCGCTGTACTTGAGCAGTTTCCCGCGCAGAAGCGCTAGTAATTTCCATTGTAGCTGTTGCCATACGCGAGCGAACCCTAATGGATGTAGTGCTTTCAGGAGAACAGCTCACCGGCGCAGTTGTTGGATTCAACAAGCCACGAAACATCTCATAGCCCATCAGTAGCACACCGCCGGTGCGTTTCCAGCGCTGTAATAGTCGCATCCGACCTGCAGTGGTGCCCTTGGTTGTCAAAGAATCGAACAAGATGACCGGACAATGTGCACGTGCCTCGATACCCAGCCACTTTTGAAACTCAGAATCCCAATTTGACAAACAAATGGCAGGGCATAAAACCAGAACAGTCGCCGGGGGGTCCCTTTCATCGTGAGATTGTTTCTGGTCATCCACCCCTTTCGGCTCCGAATTTGCGACGGTGCAACCACTCAGCTTGTCTATTCGTTGCTTTCGTAAATCAATCTCGTCAACGATGAATGAATGAATAACCATAATCACTTGTAGCGTCTTGCCGAGACCCATATAGTCTGCCAGAATACAACCACGCTTAGCAGCTACATGAGAATGCAAGAACAGCACTCCTTCCTTTTGATGAGGCTTGAGCAATGGTTTGATCTCTTTTGCAATCCACACGTCATCACTTTTTGCTTGACCAGTCGTTACGAGCGCATTCAGTCGGACTCGTCCATACTTGTCCGTCTCCTCTTCCGCATCTTCCACGACTTCATCAGACATCAGTGGAAGCACATTTCCCACATACGCAGCCTCGTCGTTAGCGGGACAGATACACGGCAGCATCATGCAGCTCACACACTGCGACGTGGCGTCAGCTGCGAAGAGCAGGCGCAATTTGGACTTTGTCACCACGGCAATACCAGAAGAGGATACTTGACCATCGTGACGTTGGTCCAAAAGGTCGACAGCGCCTTCAACGTCTCCCACACAAATGCAGGGCAAGATGCCACAGCAGCATCGGCTGCCGTGCATATTGACTGGAGCTATTGTAATAGTTGTTACGAAATTTAGTGAGCATACAAATTATAGACGGTCATGTTACACAATTTGTGGATGCGTTGAGGAGGATGGCACAATTCGAAATTGTCATGAAACATTTTATGCAAATCATTGTCGCAAACACAAAATTTCGAGCGAAATTAAAAGTTGAGCAAGAAGGTTGAGCAAGTGTGTAACGGGGTAGGCCGTTACATGATATTGACACCAAACGGTGTCAATAGGAACATTTTCTAGCATGACAATATTCTACCAATGTTATCCGAGATGGATAATATTGAAGGATTATTATCCCTTTTGATAATATTCATGCGCTGCTCCAAGATGGTTAAGATGAGACATATCAACCATAGATTGCCACCAATCGCTGCTAGACGCGCGCAATGAGTGGTGAGCAGGTTGTCGTCATACGACGATGTAGATTAATATAGTTGGATAAAGATTTATGCTATATTGATAGCTTTTTACCTTACTTGACCGAGTCGTTCAAGCAGATAGCTTCCTCTGCACGTACTAGTGTACGTAAAGTTTCGTGGTACCCCAAAACAAACGGCGCCTTGTTACACCTGATAGCACTTCGTAGGCCCTTCAACGACTGCTTAGTGTCCGTCCAACATGAACATGTTGGACGCAGAAGACGACAGCTTTCACGTCACACGTGAAGGCTACTCCCATCTGAGTGACCCAGAATGGGAGGTAGTCGGCCGCATGAGTGTGCTCATGGGCGAACCAGCCATCAGTGGTATGTTGGAGTCTCTAAGCAGAAACCAGCAACATGCTGCTATCAACAATTCCTACAAGGGGAACTTGCCGTCGAGCGACCGAAAAAAGCCTTGCTACAGCAGCAAGGCTCTCTTCAGTCGATGGGCGGGCCGACGCACATGCGTCAACCCGAAACCTTGAAGATTGATATCTCAAGGTACAAGGGAACCGATGAAGATTTCCTTTTGAGATTGTTCGTCGAGTTAGACGATGCCATCGCGGCCCGTCACATCAAGGGTGACAAGATGCAAGTCTCCTTCGCCCTGTCAAATTTGACGGGACGAGCAAAGACTTGGGCTTTAGGGCTTAAGCTTCACGACATAAACGTATTTGAGTCGTTAAGGGTCTTAAAGCATCGGCTTAAAGAGACGTTTGAGCCGCCGAGAGCCGAGTTCAAAGCACGCTCTGCACTCTTGTGGCTAAAGCAGGGTGGGCGTGATGTGCATGCTTACGTACGCACCTACGCTACCTTGCGAGTAGCGTTACAAAAATAAACCCTGTAGATGAGCACACGCTCATCAACGTGTTCATCTACGGCCTTGTAGATTGGCCGGTGAAGACCTCCATGTTCCGAGAGGACTTCAATGTTCGCAATATAGATAGCACACTCTTGCACTGTAGTAAAAGGATTCCGTCATTGATCTTTTGTTATCTCTTTTTTACTCTTTACTCACCACCACCCCTGTCCACTCGATCTGCAAATCACGCATATTGTCACACACAATGTATGCACTATACAATCACAATCAGTGGCCGCCATTCCCGTCGTCGTGCCGCGCGCCCTTGCGCAATCGCACTTAGCACGACACTCTCGTTTTCAACACTCCTCCTCGGCCATGACTTTTCGTTCATTTAGCCGAGTTGTAGCAACTTGCACAACTCTGCGACCTCAGCAGCGTCAAGGAATTCGTTAGCAGGTCCGCCAGTTGCAGCTCCGAGCGCACATACTGGGCCGCGACTACCCCACGCCGGGCATAGTCGTAGAAAAACTTAAGGCGCACGTCAAAGTGCTCTGCCTTTAGAGAAGACGCCTCATCCGCCAACTGCTTCAACACCGCTTGATTGTCGACGTGCAGTGCCATCGGGATCATGGGGGGCTTCCAGATTTTGCACAGCATCTATCTGATGCCAAGCAGCTCGAGCACTTGCTCCGACGCAGCGACAAACTCCGCCTCCATGGTGGAAAGCTACACTCTGCCCTGTTTCTTCGCCGTCCAGCTCACCGGCATCCCGTTCAGGCGAGCGATCCCACGGTCAAGGACTTCCTGTACGACTTGTCAGCGGCGAAGTCGGCGTCCGAGAGGGACTCATGCTGCAGCTCCCCATATGAGATCTTCGCCAGCTTCATGCGCAGTTTAAATTTGCGCACAAATTTCAGGTAGCGCGCGATACGTTTGGCAAGCTTGAGTTCGTGCAGTCGTGGCTGGTGGCTCTGGCGCGTTGCTTGATGCACAGCAAACGCGATGTCCGGCCGCATCCAGCGCGCCACCCAGAGCAGACTGCCGACAAGGGATTGGAACGTCCGGACACTTGGACCCCCACTGTCTGCGCTCTCACCCAACAGCTCGCAGTCTTCTAGTTGAACTTTGTAGCAGTTTAATCCGATCGAAGATTGCGTCGCGTTGGTGTTCTCGAGACCGTGCATACACAACAGCTCGCCTATCGCTTCCGTCTGTTCCAGAATGTAGCTGCCGTCATCTTCCATTGCGACACGCATTTTCAAAAAATTCGATGACGACGCCGAGGTCCTTGGGGACAGGCTTCTAAGCTGATTGAAGAAGTGTTCAACAGCAGCTTTATCGGTTCTGGTGGCCAGCAGATAGCTCACGTACACACCCACGACGACCAGCTGGCCATCATCGACCTTCCAGAACAGGCACATGTCCGATTGACACTGGCTGAAGCCAGCGTCTAACAATCGGGCGTGTGACAGCTGGATCCAAAGCCGTCCAGCCTGCTTGAGGCCGTACAGACTTTTATGTAACTCAAGTACAACTTCCTTCTTGTTTGTTGCTCTAATAGTCTTGAGAGTTTCCTCGCTCACTTCCATCGCCTTTGGAATTTGCAGCAGGATCTCCAGGTGAATTTCCTTCTCAGATTTTACGTAGGCGTTGGGGATGTTCCCGTGCTTTGCCGGCACGCCTTAAATCGCTGAAAGTGCCAGAATCACCTTAACATTTGACATATCCATAACAGCCGCGAAGGTGAGTATTAGTCCACCCCAAATACCTGCTTGTTGCCGCACGCCACAAGTCTTGCCTTCATACGTTCCAGATGACCGTCGGCATTTGTCTTCGTCCTGTATACTCATTTCGTGTGCAACGCGTTCCTTCCTTTACGTCGCTTAATAATGCACCACACGACCTTATCTTAAAGAGCTTCTTATTCTTTAATCATTACTCTCTCCCAACCTTATCTTTCTGTGCTGCGCATTTACTCCCCATAGTAATTGGGGTACGCTCGTACACATGCGCTGTCACGCTTTCCTGTGGCACACCTTCTTCTTGAGCCAGCTCCTCCTGAGGCCACATAAAACTTGCGTGCGCTTGGTCACAATGCGCATCCTTGCGCCGCACGCGTCCAGGATTTAGTCTTCCTCTTGCCGGCTCGCAACTTTCGCGCAGGTACCTTATCCTTTGCAGGTATGTTTGTCACAGCCATCGGCCCAGCGCCAGTAGAGGATGTGCCTGGTGCGACTGTCACAACCGCCTGATTTATAAACTCGAGTGCGCGTTGGAGCTGGCTATTTTGTTCCACGCTGAGGGCTTCAACGTTTCGCACGTGCTGTGTCACCGTGACCTTGTTCTCCTTTTTATAAAACATCCTATCCCCCTTGTCTCATCACTTCGGCCGATGATGACACCAACTTGTGCCCGTATCGCTAGCGGGTTCTTGCCGGGGTCCCGGTAAAATGTGCAGATCGATCCGAAAGCAACTATATCACGCAGGTCGGGAGCGTGCTTGGCCAAAATCTCCATCGGTGACGCTCTCTTTGCGTAAGCACTTGTTGGACTTCGGTTGAGTATGTACGCAGCATACTCAACTGCGTCCCCCCCAAATGACACTGGTAGACGACTGGCAAAAATCGTACTGCGTGCCATGTTCAGCACTATCCTGTGCATTCGCTTCGCCTATTTTCGACGCCTGATTTCTTGCCTCGCTGATTTGCCGTGCAACTCCTGTCGTCTTGCAGAACAGTTTAACGTTCACGTACTCACCACCCCCGTCTGTTCGGAGCACGTGGATTCGGCAGTTGAAACGGCGCTCGAAGAAAGCCAGAAAGAGATCAAACTTCTTCGCGGCCTTGTCCTTCGTAGGATATAGAAAGACGCGACAGTAGTTGGACTTGTGATCTATGTATTTTACAAGGTAACGCTTTTCGATCCTGTCCTTCGGCGTCATCGGGCCCTTCAAATTCGAGCAAATCACTCCACCGACTCTATCGATGGGCGAATTTGCGCCAGTGTCTCTCCGCGACTGAAATTCTTCGTCCGCTTTCCCTGAGCGCACGAGATACAAGTGGGCCGCTTTGTACCCGTAAGTTTGACGCCGGACGCTGGGTCCTTAGCCATCCTCTCGATGCTATCGTAAGCGAGATGCCCGGTCGCTGGTAAAAATGTAGTAGAGAGCCCATCTGCAAATCAGCATCCGTATCATCAGGCGACTATTCTCGCATTAAAACCATTGTAAGAACGTCGTTTGGAGTCTGTGTCGTGCGTGCTGATTGGACCGTCCTTACGTACAACACATTGTACCGCATCATCACGTCGAACGCGACTTCGCCGTCCCTACGCTTCGCTAGGCCGCGCGTCGTGCCATCGTAAACAAGGCCAAACCCCTTGCGATCGAGCTTGCCGTATGACATGAGATTGCGCACCAGCTCTGGCGCGAGGAATACATCCGTCAGCATCAAATTCTTCTGCCTTCCTTTCGATAGTAATGTCAGCACCATGTTTCCGACCCGCGATAGCCGTACCGTTTCACCGTCAGCAAGGCGACACTCTTCCTTACAATCTCTTGCGTCCATCAAAAGTGTGGCATCGTTGACGAGGTGGCTACTGGAACCACTATCGAGCACCCAGTCGTCAGACCCCGTGTCACCTTTATCGCCGATTGCCATCGCGAGGTCACTCTTCACGACACGAAAGCCCTTGTTCCTTTGCCTACTCCAACGGAAAGCACCATGTTGCCAAAGCGTCTGCCACGACGACCGCCATTTAAATCACGTGTCATTTTGCTGCGACTGTCAGCCTTGACGTGTCCCACCTTACCGCATCCATGGTAGGTGCGCGTCTCCTTGCGCGTGCTGGACTCATCCACATGCGCCACGACCTCTTTTCCGAAGAAACGTTCCGGACGAGCTTCCATCTCGATATCTTAGGCGAAGTGGTCCAACTCCTCCGCGTGTACCAGGTAGTCCATACGGTGCGTGTCATACTTGGCCATGAGTATCGTTGATAACTCTGGTGAAGCATACCTGACAATGTTGTCCAGCACTTGCTGCTCCGCGCCACCACCGGCGTCACTGACAGCCACTAGGTAGAGGTAGTGCTCCGGCCACGAACGCTTGATCTATTTCTTGGTCGTGATCAGCTTCATTGCTTGTGCTGCTGTGCTCGTTGTCTTAAACGCATCCAGCATACGTTGCATCACGTATTCCAGCGTCGGCAACACAGTTTACCATGAGTCAACCTGGCTGTTGAAGTAACGCTCGGCGTTCCCAGTCAGAAATTGGCCGAGCACGTCGATCTTAATATTTTCACTCCACAGGAAGCTGCACAAATCTTGGGCCATGTCCACTTAAAGCCAAAAGTTCTTACCTCAGTCGCAAAACCTGACCCCAGCCCGACGTAAACCTCGTTGCCATCAAACTTGCGAATCGCAAGCTTGCGTTGTCTTGCATCAGGTGTTCGGTAGTGCCTGGGCACGGGGGCTTGCTGCGGTGGCCTTGGCGGAGCCTGAGACATCGGATGCGGCTGGTAGGGTGGCAGCTGTGGGGGGGCGGCTGCGGCAGTGGCTCGGCGCGTTGCTGCAAAGGATGTCGCGCCTCCGTCCTCCAGTCGTCAAGCCGACCACCCACACGTTGAGCTTGTGCTGATCCATGCCGTTCACGAAGGTCCGAAAGTTCCAAAGCTCCGCGATGTAGCCTGCCGGCAAAGTCAGCACCGCGCATGGAAGCAAACAGCCCGCTTTCGTCGGCGCCACGCATTCTCTCGTCCTCGTCAATCCTTGCTTAAGAGGCTTTCATCTTCTGCATCCTTGCATCCATTACGGACAGCATTTCGAGAATATTGGCCAGCGCTCCAGAGTCCGCTCTCCTTGCGTGAGCGGGAGGAATGAAGACCGCAGCAGGATCCGGCAAGGCCCTTTCGTGACCAGTTGCCGGCGCCTGTGCCGCCTTGTCGTCGTTGCCCTCTCCGTTTGGGCCCATAACCTGTTCGCAATAGAGATAGCACTCTCTTGCACTGTTGTAAAAGGATTTTGTCATTGATCTTTTGCTATCCCTTTTCTACTCTTTACTCACCACCACCCCTGTCCACTCGATCTGCAATCACGCATATTGTCACACACAATGTATGCACTATACAATCACAATCAGTGGATATTATTCCCGTCGTCGTGCCGCGCGCCCTTGCGCAATCGCACTTAGCACGACACCCTTGTTTTTAACTAATCATACGCTGGAAAAGGCGATAGCGTATGCAAAACATTAAGACTGCATCCTGAGACAGTCTCAGGCTTACTTGTCAAATTATTGTCCGACGAGACGACAGGAAACAGGAGGTCCCGAAAAAATGGACCTTTGTTACATCGAGAGCGAGAACTATCGCTTTCCAAGTCACAAGCGAACGGCAAGATGCCATCGCTGTCAGAAGATTGGACACTAAGCTCATGAGTGTAGTGTCCCAAGCACCGCATCGCGTCCAAAGACAGGACGTGATGACCACCTTTGTCCACGAAAAAAATCAAGGCGTGGGTCCGACCATGTTGCTAAGCCGCGACAGCAAGTCGGACCGTCAAAGAACGGTCAGGGGCAGTTGGGCCGAGCACCATGATGATTCAGAAACGTCAAGAGAATTTGTAGGACTCTTGACGAAGATTGCTCCCAACACACAGTCGCTGTGTGTTACTGCCCCTAGTGATGAGGATTCTCTCATCACTTTGAAGATCGAAGTGAAAAGTTGAATGTCACGTCGCGCTGTAGTTGACTGTGGGGCGTCGAACAGTTTTACTCGACGCCAGTCGCTAAAAGAAAGATAGTAGGCTCAACTATGTTGAGCGAGAGTTTCCTCCAATGAGGATGATGGTGTGACTTGCAACAGGCGCATCCGTAACAGTGAACAAACGTGTAGTGGATTCCACTACACGCTAGAAGGAAAGCAGTACGATGATGACTTCATCGCACCGAATTCGGTAGACAAATTTGATGTAATCCTTGGTCTATCATTGCTTACAAAGTACCAGCCATGGATTAGCTGGCAGCATCTATCCGTGAAGATGCCTGCCGTTGTTCATCAGATGGTCATCTGATGAACGTTTTGGAACGTGTACAAGCGTGTGGATATACTACGAGTGAGTACGATGGCCTCACTTGTGGTAAGGTCGTTAGCACGACTGCACGAGATCACAGTGTAGAAGGCCACTACACTGTAGAACCAGCTTCCATCACTTGTGTAGAGACACAGGCTGCGCCGAAGGTTCACGACTCGAAGAGATCGAGTGGACTGGAACACGGATGCACACCAAGGAAGGTGCATCCAAGACGAGATATTAGTGTTGTTTAGGATGAATAAAATGTTGAAGCGAGATCGACTATCAGAAAGTCGATCGTAGAGCAAGCTTGATCAACTGATAGAGAGTCGATCGAAGAGGACGTGACCGTTAAATACGCGTAATGGAAGAAAGCTCCAGCGTTCCTGAGAGTGATATTTCCCGAGAGAGTTTTGTTGAAGGTGTGGATCCCCAACCACCTGCGGATGTGTTTTCCCAGGAAATCACCGAGACATTGAATGTCTTGGTGAATGACGGATCAATTGTAGGCGCTTATACACTTGATCTGGTCTCACCTACAAAGTCAGCTTCGGAGGGAATCAAGTTGCCAACGCTGGAATCTAAATAAATCCTACGAGATCTGCGAAGTGACAAGATCAAGCAGATCTGCGTACTCGTCAAAGAGGACGAGTACGTCGCCGATATTCGGTCGGCACAAGTGTTTGCTGAGAACGAATGGGTTCTCAGTAGCTCATCTATGGACGATAGTGTTCTTGATGAGAAGACCCGGATTGAGCGATACACGTCTCAATCTTGGGAGTCTTTGAAGACAAATCCTTTGTATCAGTATTTGGTCAGATTCAGAGATGTTTTCCCTAAATCCGTTCCATACGAGCTGCTAGAGGACAAAGGAACTTGGCATGAGATCAAGCTGTATTCCGGTTCGAAACACTGTGTCATGAAGCAGCGGTCACTGCCTCGTAAACAGGTCACAGCGATCGACAAATTCTTTTCCCATCGCTTAGCTGCGAGTCATGTGAGGAAGTAAACATCCCCTCGCAGATTTTCGACCTTCTGTGTGCGAAAGGTCACAGAAGGGTGGTGGATAGTGCACGCATTCAACAAATTGAACGCTGCAACGGTACCTATAACGGGGTGAATCGTTACATAACAATTTACAAGAAATTGTTAATAGAATATAACTGTAAGAGGTATACTCTAAGAATATTTTCATAAGGACAAATATTCTGTAGCACTTACAAGTAGTTCCTAATTGGTTGATATAGGCCATTATATCAACCAACGAAGACGCGCCACGACAGACGCACGCAATGAGTGGTGAGCAAATAGTTGATATGCAGATTTGTATTCAGACACAGTTAGATGAGGATAAATAGTGATTTATTGCAGACATTAGCTATGATAAATACAGTTCTACTTTTTACTTTAACCAAGTACTCGCTTCTTCTTACCGTCTTCCTCTGCACGTACCAGTGTACGTGAGGTTACGAGGCACCGCCTTATTCTGTCATCAGAATAAGTAGCTTGTACTGTCACCAGTACAAGCTTCAGGGTGCCCCGTTACACCTGGTAGCACTTCGTAGTCCGTCCAAGGACCACGTTCACATCTAACATGAATATGTTGGATGATGAAGATGACCAAAGCTATCACGCTACGCGTGACGGCTACTCCCATTTGAGCGATATCGAATGGGATGCGGTTGAACGAATGGGTTCGACCATGGGCATCCATGCTGTTAGCGTCATGCTAGAGGCTCTCAATAGAGATGCCCAACATGCTACTATCGCCAAGTTCATTCAAAATGAACTTGAAGCTGAACGCGAGAAAGTAGCCTTGCTTCACCAACAAGGTTCTCAACAAGCAGAGTTGTTGAGAGAACAGGGTGCTCAACAATTTGAACTGTTGAGACAGCAGCAGGCTGCTGCTGGCGGGTCGATGAACTCGCGTCGACCCGAGACTTTGAAGATTGACATCTCAAAGTATAGGGGAGTCGAAGAAGACTCCCTCTTGAGATGGTTCGTCGAATTGGATGACGCCATAAGGGCGTGTCGCATCGACGATGGGGAAATGCAAGTTGCATTTGCCCAGTCAAATCTGGCAGGACTTGCCAAGACTTGGGCTTTGGGGCTCAAGTTGTACGACCCATATGCGTTTGGTTCGTTGGAAGTCTTCAAGTCGCGGCTCAGACAAACATTTGAACCGCCTAGAGCTGAGTTCAGGGCTCGAACCGAACTCTTAAAGCTCAAACAGGGTAAGCGTGATGTGCACGCTCACGCCCAACATATACGACATCTCACGAGTTGTAAAAGTCTCAATCCGGTGGATGAACACACGTTGGTTTCGGTGTTCATGCAGGGTCTTGCGGATGGTCCCGTCAAGACTCACCTGTTCCGGCTTGAACTAGATTCACTAGAACAAGCCATTTCCATTGCGGAGCAGGAAGACTTCAGTCTGAGACAGGCTCGCGCCAGATCGACATCATATCGTCAACCGAGACGATATGACAACGGAGGTCCAGAGCCGATGGAACTCTGTTATGTAGAGAGCGAGAAGGCTCGCTCTACAGGCTACAAGAAGTTGCGGAGATGCAACAGATGTCAAAAGACAGGACACTACGCTTACGAGTGTAGTGCCCCTCGTCCAGTGTCTCGCGACACTGGGCGTAGTGACCGTCCACCCATGAGAAAGGGGCAGGGACGAGGATCCGCAGTTGGTGCAAAACGCAACAACGGGATGGACCGTCAAATAACGGACAGGATCAGTAGGTGCGGAGCACCCTACTGGCCTAGCAACGTCAAGAGAATTTGTAGGCCTCTTGATGAAGGTTGCTCCCAACACACAAACGTTGTGCGTTGCTGCTCTAGGTAATGAGGTCTCACTCATTACCTTGAAACTCGAAGTGACGAATAAGTTGTCCCTTCGAGCTCTAGTCGATTGTGGGGCGTCCGACAATTTTGTGCGACGCCAATCGCTAGAAGATGGTCACTTTAAATTCAGTGAATGTGACACACCTCCTACGAGGATGACGGTACGTCTTGCGACAGGCGCATCCGTAACCGTCATAAAGCGTATAGTGAAGATTCACTATACGCTAGAAGATACCCAATATGACGTTGACTTTATCGTATTGGATTTGGATGACAAATTTGATGTCATCCTTGGAATACCGTGGCTCAGAAGGTACGAACCACGAGTAAACTGGCAACATCGGACAGTAACGATTCCTGCCGCTTGTTCATCAGATGGCCATCTGATGAACGTTTTGGAGCGTCCACAAGCGTGTGGATGTACTACGAGTGAGTGCGATGGCCTCACTTGTGGTACGGTCGTTAGTACGACTGCACAAAACCTTAGTGTAACAAACAGTTACACTTCGGAGCAAATTTCCGGCGGTTGTGAGGAAACACAGGCTGCGCCGAAGGTCCACCACTCGAATAAGTCGGGTGGACTGGGACAAAGATGTATCCCTAGCGGGGACCAACTAGAAGAGAAACAATCGATCGCTCAGGTTAAGCGAAACGATAATCCTAGATCGACTGGAGAGTCTTTCGTAGAGGATCTCGCTGTGGTTGCGCAACCACAGCTAGAGGAATTAAAGGGAATAAGTCCCAAGATTACAAACACGGCGGAAATAAGTTCCCCGAAACCCGCGGGAATAAACCCCGGGAAGACGAAGGAATAAGTCCTTCGAAGCCTGAGGAGATAAGTCCCCAGGAAGTGACAGAGACATTGAATGTCCTAGTCCATGATGAATCAAGTGTAGGCGCTCATACACTTGATCTGATTGCGCCTCCGAAGTTGACTTCGGAGATCACTCAGTTGCCAACGCTCGAACATAAAAGGTTCTTGCGTGATCTGCGTAGTGGCAAAGTCAAGCAGATCTGCATACTCGTTGCTGACGACGAGTGTGTAAACGACATAAGGTCAGCAACAGTGTTCACTGAGAACGAGAGAGTTCTCAGTAGTTCATCGATGGACGAGAGTGTCCTAGATGAAAAGACACGAATTGAGCGATATGACTCCCAATCATGGGAATCGCTCAAGAAAAATCCTCTCTATGAAGATTTGGTTGAATTCAAGGATGTATTCCCTGAAACTGTTCCGTGCGAATTACCTAAGGATAAAGGTATTCGACACGAGGTCGAGCTTAAACAAGGCTCGAAGTACTGTGTCATGAAGCAGTGGCCACTGCCTCGTGAACAAGTACTTGCGATCGACAAGTTATTTGCCGATCGTTTAGCTGCGGGCCATGTGAGGGAATCAACTTCCCCACATAGCTCTCCGACCTTCTGTGTGCGAAAAGCAACAGGAGGGTGGCGGATAGTGCATGCATTTAACAAGTTGAATGCTGCAACGGTACCGGATCAGACGCCGATACCGAGGAAGGACGTAATCATTGATGGTATGTCAAAGAGCACCATCTTTTCGTCCATGGATTTGATGGATGGCTTCTATCAAATCCTTATGCGGGAACGGGATTTACCCTATACCGCAGTTAGCACGCCTAGCGGCATGCTCTGGGAATGGCTAGTAATGCCACAAGGGCTTCGTAATGCCCCTGCCACGTTCAACAGATGTGTATCACATCTGTTGAGACCAGTACGAAAATTCGCGCCGAGTTATTTCGATGACGTATTCATCCATAGTCGAGCTATGGATGGAAAGTCGGACGTTGAGGTTCACAGGTACCACGTCCGATAGGTTCTTACAATCATGCGAAAGCATCAATTGTATGCAAACCTCAAGAAGTGTATATTTGCAGCAAGCGAAATACCACTTCTTGGGTGCATCATTGGTAAGAACGGTGTACGTCCTGATCCCGAAAAGATCAAGGCGATCACCGACTGGCCTGTGCCGGTTGATGTCAAAGGTCTTCGAAAATTCCTTGGGCTAGCGGCGTATTTGCATAAGTATTCACGCAATTACGCCGAGATGACTGTGCACCTCTCTCGTTTGTTGAAAAAGAACGAGAGGTGGTTATGGAACGCTGAATGTCAACGCTCCTTTGATGGTATCAAGATGAGCTTGATACAATCCCCAGTCCTAGCAATAGCCGATCAGGACAGGCCATTTCATGTGGTCTGTGATGCCAGCGATTGCGCAATCGGCTGTGCATTAGTGCAGTACGATCTTGAAGGCGTTGAACGCGTCGTCTGCTATCAGTCGCGTCAGCTGCAACCAGCTGAGCGGAACTATCCAGTACATGACAAGGAACTCCTTGCCATGAAGTATGCACTAGCGAAGTTCAGAGTCTATCTATTAGGAGATAGACCCTTCGTTGTTTACACTGACCATGCGTCATTACGCACGGCAGTGAACAGCCCGCATCTTTCACAACGAATGACGCGGTGGTTGTCATTCTTTGCGGAATACAACTTTACGGTCGAGTACAAACCAGGACGACTTAATGTCGTCGCTGATGCACTCTCACGTCGTCCCGACTTTGAAACAGTCGCGAAACCCAACAGTGAGACAGTCACTGTTGCGGTTATGACGTCCTCAGTCCCATCTACAACGTTGTATGATGATGTGAGGCGGGCATACGCCCAAGATGGTGAGATAGTGAAGTTGTTGACTCATCTCACACAGCCATCTCGAAAATCGTTGAAACGATTGTCGCCTGCGTATCGATCTGCATCAGATCGATACACTACTCGTAACGGTTTACTGTACTATACAGCCGTTTCTGGCGACACACCACGTGTTGCCATTCCAGATGATACTGATCTGCGTTTGCGGATCATGTTCGAGTATCACGATGCTCCTGTAGGAGGACATCGTGGCCGAGAGAAAACATATCTCACGGTAAGTCGAGACTTTTACTGGCCCCGCCAGTATCAGTTTGTGCGAAAGTATGTTCGCGCATGCGAAGTCTGCCAACGAGTGAAGTCCAGTCCTGCACTGCGTGCACCTTTACAGCCTCTACCGGTTCCGGCTGAGTGCTGGGAATCCATCTCAATGGATTTCGTCTTCGGGTTACCCAAAGACGCACGCGGGAATACGGGTATTCTCGTATTTGTTGACACTTTCAGCAAAATGGTACACCTTGTGGCTGTACCAGATACAGTCACGGCAAGTGGCTGTGCTTGTGTCTTTATCGACACCATCTTCCGACTTCATGGGTTGCCCCATGAACTCGTATCAGACAGAGATCCACGATTCACTGCTGATTTCTGGCGTTCCGTGTTCAAATCACTCGGAACGCGCTTGAAGATGTCGACATCTGATCATCCAGAGTCAGATGGTCAGACGGAACGAGCCAATCGTGTCCTCGAAGAGATACTTCGTGGATACGTACACTCCTCTAAGAGTTGGAGTGAGTTTCTGCCAATGGTAGAGTTTGCCATCAACAACTCGGTGCATGCATCCACGACACATACACCTTTTTACGTGAATGGCTTGCGCCATCCGCGTGTACCCACCTTACTCGAGTGTAACTCTGGTCTAAGGGGGGGGGGACTCGCGCGAGTAAAAACCGATTTGGTTCACGCTCATCACGCTCTGACGATGAGGTCATCGCGTTTGATGCCGATATCGATAACATCGATATCGAAGAAGATGATGCCAGTGAGAGCGAGGAAGCCCTCACTGAAGAAAAGGTTGATGTTGCTGCAGTGCACTCATAGCGCACTGAAGCTAACGAGTCAGCAGATGAGTCTATACTGGCTCGTGAAACGGTAGTCCGTTTTGTGCAGGACTCCATCGCCAAGCGGTGGATAAGCAAAAGCAAAACGCTGACAAGAATGGAAGGGCAAACACTCTTTTATTTAGTAAAGGTGACTTAGTCCTACTGCCTACGATTAATCTACCAAAGCATGTAGTGACTAACTTGGGTAGTAGTAAACTTCTACCTAAGTACATTGGCCCATTTCGTGTATTGCACCGCCTAGGCAATGCATACACGATCGAGTTGCCACGTAGGATGCGAACGCATCCCACGTTTTACGTTGGTCGGCTTAAGCCGTACCATCAGTACGCTGCTTCTTCCGTTGAAGAACGCCCTTACGCTCAAGTATCTCACAGAGAGCCTTGTGCTCCCGATGGTGGGCATCAACAAGGGTCTGAAGAGCAGTTATCTCATCCTGAGACCGATTAACAATCCCACGAGCTACCCTTAGCTCGTCACGAAGAGATGTCAGAGATATCTCGTTCTCAAGCTGAGCAAAGGCAAACTCAGCTTGATGCTTCAAGACAGTGTCCGCCATTTGGAGACGCCTGTCCCGCTCATGTTCAAGATCGTTGCGTAACCCTTGCGTTACGCGATCAAAGAAGCTCTCGGGAACACACGGATGCCCATGATCGTGTGGAGAGCGTCTTTCCTCCTCCTCCACCTCCATTAGAGGACTCTCGCGGTGGCCAGCGCTATCTGGTTGAGCAGATGTTGAACCACCGCGACGTGAACGGACGTCGGACGAGTTATCTCGTCCGGTGGCGCGGCTATCCCCCGTCCTGGGATACTTGGGAGCCCCGCTCCCAACTGATGATTGACGTACTGGGTCTGGTCGAGCAGTACGACGCGGCACGTCCTGTGCCGCAGAAGGACCGCCGGACAATGTCTTCCCGGCACGGTCGTAAAGGGATTTCAGGTTGTCAACCCCTTCGTACATCTAAATAGAGATACGTACGCGCCACCACGGGCTGGTAAAGAGGTAAGCCTCCTTAGGTGCTCGTGCAGAGTTGTTCACACAACATGGGCACGGGTCTCCCCAAGAGAGGCAGGGTAATACTTTCTCCCTTGACAGACGATGCAGCTTGTAGCGTGCACCTGTCGGGGTTCGCTTTTCAAACTTATCACGAGCTTTGATAAGTTTGTCGTTCCAAACGTCACGACCTACATCCTCAAGGTTATGGATGTAAGCGTTCCACGCTTGAAGCAGTGAGGGACCATCACGTTTGTGATTCCCACTTTACCATCGATGTCTGAAGAAAGCATCGATGAAGAATTCATGCTCAGTGTGGTAGTCGTTCGCGCTGGGGTCAAGGTGATGGATCCTTGATGAATCGAACAACCGTGTTCGATAACGATCACTCGTCGTCGCCGACAAGTGATCCATGACAGATTTTGGAGGCATCCATGCCTTCTTTTCGGGAGAGAGACGCAAGACATTGCGATCCCGCTCTTCCTGCGATGTGCCGACAGAAGTACTGGCACCTCGTTGCGAAGTGGTGTCAATAGGAGAACCGACACCACTACTAGCGCCCGAGTCTCGCGACCTCGAGCGCCTTCGCTTCGGCGATGGTTCATCTGACTCATCAGATGAACCATAGATGCTACGACGCATAGCATCATCCATGCCACGCTTGGCAGGCGGCTTGGATTCAATCGCCGTCGATACGGATCCGTCTTCCGTATCAGGAGAGTACGAGACACCGAGCTCGTACTCTGTGAAGACACGAGTGTCTTCATGACCAGCGCCTGCATCACCAAGTGACACAGGCTGTTTTGCTTCAGCAACCCATGAGACATCAGTTGCTGTTGTTTCTGCTTCGGCGTCTGCACAGAGACGTGCATAAGCGCTCTCAGCGGCCTTGCTCGCGCACCGCATGGGCTTGTTTACCATGCGATGAACTGTTGGAAAGTGGACGCGGACCAACAAGTGCAAACCCTGTCCCGAATGATTTGGGACGAGTATCCATTTAGTCAATCAGTCACTAAAGTGACTGATGGGTAAGGGGGGGGCGATGTAACGGGGTGAATCGTTACATAACAATTTATAAGAAATTGTTAATGGAATATAACTACAAGAGTTCTATTCACAGAATATTTTCATAAGGACAAATATTCTGTAGCACTTACAAGTAGTTATTAATTGGTTGATATAGGCCATTATATCAACCAACGAAGACGCGCCACGACAGACGCACGCAATGAGTGGTGAGCAGATAACTGATTTACACATTTGTATTTAGACATAGTTAGATGAAGATAAATAGTGATTTATTGCAGACATTAGCTATGATAAATACAGTTCTACTTTTTACTTTAACCAAGTACTCGCTTCTCCTTACCGTCTTCCTCTGCACGTACGAGTGTACGTGAAGTTCCGAGGCACCGCCTTATTCTGTCATCAGAATAAGTAGCTTGTACTGTCACCAGTACAAGCTTCAGGGTGCCCCGTTACACACCGTGACACCGGCTGCCTAAAGAAAACGATTCGTGGCGTTTTTCATCTACAGTAAATTCGCAGTGTGCGTTGTCTGCCGTCGGCGGAGCAAGATGTACTGGTTGTTATTGTGCTGACAGAATTTTCTTTAGATGGTGCATCGTCTATACCGGTTGCATTTTTGGTAAGCCCGATGCTTGTTGATTAAATCACAGCAAGTGTAGATACGACAAATTGCATGAGTATGACTACGAAACTATCCGATACCACCAGTGGTCGCGCTATTGGTACGTACACGACGACACTGTGGGCTCAACTAATTACTTTGGCTTTGAGCATGGCATAAGCGAGTAGTTGTGCATGGTGATGTTAAGCAAATTTACCTACATGTTTAACATGGTGCAGGCTACTGCAACCGCCCAAGAATGCACTTAATTCGACAGGCTGGACACGATGCAACTGCTAGGGTACTACGAACGAGGCCGACAGCGTTTAACTTTTCTAGATTATGATGGCGCAATTCTAAAAAAATAGAGCGTGGAGGAAATGGCGGATACTTTTCAAGCGCTTCTTCCGTACCTAAAAGAACTGGCTGCTGATCCACTCAATACAGTTTAGATAATCTGTGGAAGAATCAAAAACTTTTTTCAGGTAAGCATGGGCTTGCTCTATACTGTGCTTGCTAATTACTTTATTACCCTACCTTTTTGCGTGTCGTGTGTCGCCCGATTGCTCGTGTACATCGTAATAATGGCTTGGCCCTGTGCCGCGAGTGGGAATAGCGGCAGTCCTTAGTTACAAGTTCCGTCCAGCCGCCAAGCACCCATTAACAATCGATGTAGAAAGAAGTGGGGGAATTTTGACTAGCATTAGTTCTTTCCTGACGAGTATCAGTAGTGTGGAATCAGCGCATGGGAAAGATCAGCGCCAGTTGTGCTTGCCAAAACTGGTTAGAAAGTCATCAAGTAGGAATATTGGGCACTAAGAGGAGATAAGACACTTAAAACGCAAACGCTCTGCCAGCTAAAACCGACCTAAGATTAGGTATGATTGACAGCAACCTCACTGGAATTGCTAAAATTGCCAGCTGAAGCGTTAGAATCAGCTGGAAATTTAGAACGTGCTGTTTCCGACCGAATCTACAGTCTTGGGTTAGTCAAACTGAAGCAAGTGCCGAAACTACAGCCCTAAGGGAGTGTTAACAGCTCGTCATTGGCTCTTAGAATGTGTACAGCTGCGGGAAGGAGGTGTTTCCTACCGTACACACAATAAAACGGAATAAAACAAGTTCGAGATACTAATCAAGTCCAGGATTTTCAGCAATTTCCAAGATTTTCAGACAGCCTGAGATTTCGATAGTTGGCAATTTTCAAAAACTGGTTAAACTGTGCTTATATGGACTTAATTAGAAGCTGAGTCGAAGGTCATGTCAAAACGTGACTCGAGTACGCTTGCATGATAAGCTTGACATTGCACTAGTCCGACTCGGAACGAAACAAAAGGCCACACGTGTCATTTAAAAGCTTTGCTATATATTCATGACACATGTGTAGCTTACAGTGCTTACCTGCGGCGTGCGCGAGAGCTCACCGAGTTTTTGTTCATGCGACGATAATATTTGTCACTCATGCATATCAATTTGCTATGACGTTATTCGCAAAGGTGTACCCTGTCGATAAAAGGTGTTCACTATCGAGAATAAAGCACATGAATAAGAAGTTATGATACCTGCAATTGATAAAATTAAAAATCTACCTCTTTGATCCTTTCCTCAAACGTACACTCGTGAATAAAAGAATGCTGTAGAAGTGCCTCAGCCGAAAGCCGATCGATCGGGTTATGTGTCACGCACTGCACACACAGGTAGTCAGCAATTCGTAACTTGCAATACGGTAGAGTCAGGAATACATTTTACAGAGCCTAAACGAAAAAAGAAAGGCCTTCTTTCAGACTATAAATCAGCCTGTAGTTAAAGAAAATACTCATTTGCAACGTAAGAAAAGGAAAATATGGTTGTTAGGCAGACATGTCAAGGAGCAATGCAACAAACCTAGTAGAACAGTTGGCTGATCCCACCGCGACACGTACAGTACGCATCCTTTTCACAGCACGCCCACAGCAGCGATAGCAGAGAGGCTATTTTACAAAGCCTCGATGTAACGTTTGGCTAGAAATATGTGGTCAGTACTAAAACACGTCTGCGATTCGTGAAAAGCAGTATCGTGCTCTCTCGAAGCTTTTACAATACACGAGTAACTACCTAAGTCTATTTTACCCAGGCGGGTCGACAGAATGCGTGATCGCACGTCAATTGCCTAATTAGTCGGGGCAACCACCCGAGATAGATGATGTTTTAGCATGTCCCAGGTAAGAGAAACCTCTCACGGAGTCAACCAAACCAGAGAATATATCCTACGTGGGCAGTGTGTAACGGGGCACCCTGAAGCTTGTACTGGTGACAGTACAAGCTACTTATTCTGATGACAGAATAAGGCGGTGCCTCGGAACTTCACGTACACTCGTACGTGCAGAGGAAGACGGTAAGAAGAAGCGAGTACTTGGTTAAAGTAAAAAGTAGAACTGTATTTAGTATAGTTAATGTCTGCAACAAATCACTATTTATCTTCATCTAACTATGTCTAAATACAAATGTGTAAATCAACTATCTGCTCACCACTCATTGCGTGCGTCTGTCGTGGCGCGTCTTCGTTGGTTGATGTAATGGCCTATATCAACCAATTAGGAACTACTTGTAAGTGCTACAGAATATTTGTCCTTATGAAAATATTCTGTGAATAGAACTCTTGTAGTTATTTTCTATAAACAATTTCTAGTAAATTGTTATGTAACAGTTCACCCCGTTACACAGTAGATGCCGACCTAAGGCAACAGAAATCATAGTAAGTCTAAAGGACCGTACATCAGCTACAACAAAGAAGTGAAGGTCAGAAATTGTGGTCGTTAATAAGAATCGCGCCCGCAATTTGCTCACCTGGGTACGTCCCGTCACTTATCCGTTCAGGGGCCATGCAAAGCAAGGTACCCATGAACTTTTATTTAAATGTAAAACGATTGTTCGGGGTGCGCGCTAGGCCAAAATCTACAATCCTTACCTCGCCCTGCCGATCCGTGAGCAAGTTATTTGTCTTGACATTGCGATGCACCATTTTCTTCTTGTGTATATGAAACAAGCAGTGCGGCACACCGGGCGCCATCCGTTCTAAACCCTTTCATTTCGGCAGCCGCCACGCAAAAACAAATTTCGTAACAATCCTTTTCTTATGAATTCCACGACTATACAAAGACATTTTCTTGAAAAATTGACAGACGTATCATAGAAGGATACGATGTATGAACTGGGTCTACTTTTTACAAGCAACCGCTCCAGTAATTTAGTCAATACAAACTGTGCACGCATGTATGTGCACTTTCTTACCTTGCTTTAAGTTAATCCACACTTTCCGGTCGAGAACTGTTGCGAAATCGGGCTGTCACTATCTGCC